AAGCATCGCCGAGTCGTTAATTAAAAGCGGGTAGCGTGGGCGCAGGAATGATAAAAGTCGAAAGCGCGTTCCAGGGGTTACAAATTCGAAAAAATAGATTCCGGTGGCATTCTAGCCAATTGTACTGCCTAACCAGTTTCAGCTGTTGATCCCTCAATCTTGTGTTGTGGCTAAATTTCAGTGGGTGGCGGTAAGTGTAATCGCGATTTTTCAATATCTGGTACACCAGAATGAGGTCGCCCCATAGACGGTTATAACTTCGGCTGTACACTCCTAGCATTTTCAGGCGTAGATGATATGGCAGGCGCGACAACCCCTTCACATTTTTTGTTGCCCTTCGTTGTGCGGTCTCCAGTGCAACCAGGTCGTGTTTTAATCAGGGTTGCCAAGTCTGGATCACGTACTCTACATGGGGCCTCACATGAGCATTGAGCATTTGGGGACTAGGGAGGGGTCGAACCACTCGAATGCCTTCTGTAAGCGACCAACGTGTTAGGTTAGCTGTTTGGGACGCATTCAGTGACTGTGCCGAACAGTCGAGGTCGCCTTGCGTCACCACCTCAAGGTCGCGCTCCTATGACGTGGTTTTCAGCATGTGGTCTCCAAGCTTATATGCGTAATTGGGCTTGCGTAGTACATGTACAGTCTTGCACTTGTCCGCGTTAAACGGAAGTAGATTTGCCTTTGACCATTCAAAGACACGATCCCAGTTTCTTTGCAGCAAGTCTTGATCGTCCGCCATATCTTGATGTCATCGGATAACAGCAAGAAATTTAACTTGATGCCATGCGCGTGGTCCTTGATGATGACCATGAGTAGGTGCGGCCCCAACACCGATCCCTGTGGGACACCGCAGTCCACGTCGATAGGACCAGAAAATGAAGCCCTAACCGGAACCTGAAGCTGCCGCTGAAGGAGGAAATTTCCTACTCATTCAAGGATTGCGTCTCCTATTCCATAGGTACGCAGCTTTTGGAGGAAGGTTCGAGGATCTAAGCGGTCGAAGGTTATAAAAAAGTCTAGATAGATGGCACCAGTGTCATTGTAACTGTCCACTATTTTGATTCAACTGCGGCCTGCAATCAGAAGTCTAGTAGTACATGATTGATGCTGACGGAATCCGAGTTGCTCTGGTGTTATGATGTTAGACCTCTCAAAGGACCCCATTAGAGCTTCAGTTATGACTGACTCCACCACCTTTGAGAGCACCAGGAGGAGAATCACTGGGCGATGGTTGACGGGCTCTGAATGGCTACCTCCATAGAAATTGGGTGATGATACCCGGGTTCCACATGTTAGTGACCTGCTGTTCATACAGGCACCATGGGAAAAATCGAGCTAATGGCTCAACTATCCTCGTAGCTGCCACTTGAAGCGCTTTCGGAGGAATGTTGTCAGCACCGCGGGAACTATGGGTTCGTAATGCTGGCAGCTTCCTCAAAACGGTTGCTGAACTAAAAGTGACGTGTGTGAATGCTGGCGTCTGGGGTAATGGGAGAGGTATGTGGCATATGCTGATGGTGCGTCGAAATATTGCAGCATCTTGCTGCTGCAGAAGGTTGGCTACATTCTCGGCAGTTTGAGCACATCCATTTGCTGAGTAGGTGGGGGTACAACATGCTTCATATTCCGGAGACTATTCAAATGTCAGTATATGAGCTTGTCGTTAGAACAAAACCTTTCTGCTAAGCTCCGCTGGTGTACTAAGTTGTCCTCACGTACAAGTATGTGGAGTGTTCGTCCCTCGCTTGAATGGACGCTTGATTCCCAATCAAACCCGAAGTCGCTGGTCCCCCACAGGACAGAGAGAAGACTGGATCGGACGAGCAGAGCAGCAGGGATGTATTAGCGATTCACACCGTTCATTATAAAGGTGAAATGGAAAGTTCGTGAATAGTATTTAAAGCGAACGTGGAAAGCTCTGGAAAGGTCAACTTACAGCCAATAAAGGAACGCCGCCCTCGCGTTAATTGGCCGCTTCTCCCGGTTGGCTCTTTGTTCGCCCCAATCAATGCGGATGAGTTTGGATCGCCTGCCGCGGCGATGGGGTCCTGGTTTGTTCGCATCGCGTATTCCTTCCTAACAGTGTGGTACAGTGATTATGATGCATTTCATAGTAGCTGCAATTCTCAAGATTGGGGTACGCTCTGTACGCATGTCACGTTGCGTCCCTTAACGCCAAGAGTTTTCGGGTTCTGCTCCTAATGATTGATGATGCTCTTGTAGAACGAATGAGCCTGTTTACAGATGTGGATTTAATCAGACCGCTCAACTTACCATCACAGTCCTTCCATACAGTATCGGTGGAGCAATTGTCCGGAAAATCCCAAATGGCATCCCCAACAAGTTCTGTGAGTGTGTCGTAGTGTGTGATTGTTCGAAACAAGTCACTATGTTCTTGTGGATATTCTGCAAACTACACATAGCCTTAAACTATTATTAGGTGATCACTCCGCTCCCGAGAGCCCTCCATCTTTGGTTTCCCAACTATGAGCTCTTCGTTCGTGAGTATAAATCAAGCACATATGGCTTATTTCCTATTCTAAATCTGGTATGCGAAATGACATGGATAAAGAGCGGAATGCTTGTAATAAGCTCTTGCGGATCTACCTTGCATTGCCCGTTGAGAGAAGCCGGAACTTCCAAATCGTGAACACTGAAGTTGCCGGAGATGTGAACATGGTTGTAACTTCGTCGAAGTACTTTCCCCAATCTGAATTCCATCCTTCTTTGGTCTTGTCAATAATAATCAAGAGTCCCTCTGCGCACTTTTACCCACGGTCCGAATGAAGCGGAGAAATAACTCTTTCATCCTAATTTTATTTTCTTCCATTTTAACCTATCTCAACGCCTCATTCATCTGCGTTTTGTGAGGTAAATCAGGGGAGCTAGTGAAAATCAAGCAAGAAATACTTGCTCTCCTTGGTTTAACCACTGATTTTCTTTCTCACCTGTTTTACAACAATGCTCACAAATTCATTTTGAAACTCTGGAGGCAAAATGGTGTCAAAGTTTCTTTCCTAAATTAATCGTTACCCAATCTCCATGAAGCACAACGTCATAACAGGCCAAAAATTTATTAGTTCCAAAAGATTCCCCCTATTCTGCTAACCTTCATCATCATGGATATATTCCCAGCGACTGCGTAGTGCAGTGTTCGGTTTAGCGAGAAACCTGACGAAGTCCAGTAATCTAGCCACAATTTCACGCTTCCTCTTAGTTTCATTTTCAAAAAGTTATTCTGTTAAGTTACCAAATACTCAACCCTCAACAAGCCGGATCCCCAGATCCTTCCGGTTGCGGAATGCCTGAGCATGATATTTACTACTTTCGTGTTCATACACTTTTGGATTTGATTCCCACTAGTTTCTGAAACCATACTCAGAAGAATAACTAGACTGTCCAGACAAAAGCTGTCTACAGTCGAAGCGAAAAAGGGCCTCTTGGAAGGAAATCACACAATCCTTTTTTGCAGCCTTCGCCGTCCTTTCTGCGAGTCCCGAGAAAACCAGTTTGTTGTTAGGTTGTTTCAGTCCGGTTTTTCTCTAGTCCGCGTTTATTCCTTAAACTATTGTTTGAGGTGCTGCGCACTAGTCGGTTTCGGCCTGGACATGTACAGGGCTAATTTCATGGTGCATTTTGAGAGACAACAGACAGAAATGCGTACAATTGGTTGAGGCGTCTGCTATCGCTCCAACTATTGGTTTCCTTTTCAATCCGGTCAAGTTCGCAGGCATCTTCTGCATCTTCATTACAGACATTTACTGCTACATCAACGATTTCAATGTGGTACTGTACTACACTGGTATTAACATTTGCAGTATCAGCTTCATCTTCGGTCTTCGCATGACTATCGCCTTTCGTTTTGCCACCGGCCACCTTTGACTAATTTTAACGAGTCAATTCGACAAATACCTCTAAGTTAACGCGTATCTCGGGGCATAGGCCGGTTACTTAGTCCATTTAACTGTGCCTGATCGCATTTGGCGCTTGTCTTCAACGCCCGATGGTCGGCAGTGATAAGATTAACGTAGAAATAATTACCGCGGAACCACAACGTCTTAGAACAAGCCGTGTATCCAGCTTTGCCTTATGTCGGTACTATGATCACTGAAAGTGCAGTTGCTTTAGACACTTCCTCTTCTCAGTGGTCATTGCTGCCACTATCCAAGCGAAGTTAGTTTAAACAAAAGAAACTCACTGGCGCGAGCGAAATTCCATAGCACTCTTCCACCGTCAGACCGCGTGTGACACCGGCACGCAGTTGCTCGATGCACACTCGATTTGTCGGCCATTCGGAGCGTCTTGGCCTCATACTCAACCGTGGTTGTATGCGAGATTGAGTGGTATTTGTTTTCGCACGTAGGTAAGTCACTCATAAATACGTCCACAAGCGTGCACAGTCTGGTTGCACGGGGTGCCGAGCGGAAGGTGCACACACGTGGAGCACCACGGTGATCGATAAATCCGCGACTCCTGCTTGCAGGGTTGTCTGTTTACGTCAGCGTGTCTGCCCGTTGAAGAACTGCGGATGTGTGTGCGTCTGTTTCCTTGCTTGCATCGCTTGACCGTGTGTGTAACTGAGTAGCTGTTGGCTTTGCCAACATTTCACTGGGGGTGTAGTGTTCGAGGATTGGAGTAGGTTCTACGATTCGACGCACCGTCGCCAACCGATTGGATAATTTCAGGTGTGCCGGGTCTCATCCGACCACATAAGGCACCAAGTTGTTTGGAGGCATCACTTAGCACAGTCTAGTTTTTCGGTCACCTTTCGTTACCAGGATTCGATCCTGGCGCAGCACCACCTCACTTTCTTAAACTCCTTTACTTCGAAGTTGAGATCATTCGTTGACCTTGACACACTCGTACTGAAGCGACTTATATTTATCCTGTCTACAACACGCTTTTGAAAATCAGTTTGTAAATATCCGACTTCCTTGATTGTTTGCGATCCATAACTTCATCAAAATTTTGAACCATCTACGACCTACGTAACTGGAATGGACGGTGGGACCAAAGTTCAGAGAGTGCCACTGGATGAATATCTCAGCGATTTGCGGGTAGGTAATTATGAATTGTGCTTGGTTACCATATTCAGTATATTTTGATATAGAATGTTGATAGTCATTTGTGTTCCACAGTGTGCAGCATACGGTTTCTGGGTTTCTGGGGCACTGGATTTTCCTCGCAATGGTGGCGGTGGATTACACGTAGTTCGTCGATATACGAACATTGCCACTTCATTGTGTTATAGTACCCCGAAATTACTGATCCTCACTATGCATCATGAAGGGCAGATAAACCGGGAAAAGTTTGACAGGCATTGGTTTATTTGTTACCACCTTTTTACTCAAACGAAGCTGACTCCTGTGGGTGCTGCATTTTTGTTCGATAATTAGGTCCATTTGCGTGGCGCCGAACACTTAGTCGCGAGATTTTACCATAGATAACACAAGTCAGGCTATGCAGCCCCTAAAAGCACATAATCAGAGAGGGTGTGATTAAAAAGTACCGAGTGCGTCTGCTTTTCTTTAGCTCAGCACCCTTAATCTGGCCAGTGTAAGCCATCTTGAACATTAACTTGAGCCAACAGACTGTGATCTCGTCGTTTCCATTTAACATGGTGTTGTATTGGCCTTACCTAGTCCCTAGTGAACCGAATGGTTGGCCGTAAATCAATTAATCCATTCTCAGATGATTTTTGAATTGCTAGACCTTTTCTCAGTCAATTCGATTCATATCGCTTTCAAATTCCTCTTTAAAGAAATCGTGTTCCTCCATAGATCACTCAACCTAGTCATTAAAGCTTGTAAGTTTTATCCATCGGGTGCAAACATTCCTAAGTGATGAGTACTAATCACTGGGTGACCAACTCAAATAAGCAGATATTATCAATGAAGAGTCTACATAGTGGGGTGCTATTGACTGATTTGGGTTTGGTCACGTAATGGACCACAGCATTTAGGGATGTCCGTATTTGCTAGAGGCAACTTAAAAGCGTACAGGCAGATATTAAGACGTCTACGAAGGAAGATGATTTTCTTGAGGAGGAATTTGAAACTGCTAAGCATTCAAATGATTGAGAAACGCTAGAGTATCCACTCTGGTGACCATTACTGGTTCGAGGAAACTTGATGTTACCCCTAAATCGTCTATATGAGTGACTAAGATCAGTACGCATGTCCGTTTAACACATGATAGAACCGTGCTGATCGACTTTTCCCATGGCTAAGTTGCTCTGATTTACCTTGAAAAACGTTGCAGTAGTTTGAAATCCCACACCGTCCATCAAGGTTACAATTCACTGATGGCATCCGTTCACATAGCATCTGTTTGACATAATAATAATAACAATGATTGTTATTATAAGGCTTATTTCTTGTGGTACCGAGAAACCGAGCCCACGAAGGGACGGATCATATTTACCTTGCAACATGATCAGGCATGCGAAGCCGTCAATGGTTTAGGTTTTTCCAAGATTACCATAGGGATGTTTTTGCGTATATTTTCATTTGGGACTTTCGCCGCTGTATGCGACCAGTTTGCAGGCATTCTCCGTTGGTTGTTTTCGCTGCAGCTTGGAGGTGCCATGATGGCGGCGGTTTGGTGGGGGAACGAGTATGAAAATGATGAAACAGTTAGATGCACCAATCAAAATCAGATGAGTACTACACAACCTTACTTAATAGACCGTAGTACTACAGTTGGTGCTACTTGCGAGTAGCAAGTTAGGGAGTTGTGAAAATAAGGAAAACACAATCTTAAGGTAATTCCAGTGGATCATCATGCTCAAGGTGCTTTATCAGAATAATATAGGCAGCATTCACATCGTAGGGTGTTAAGGCATAGCCTAGTGTCTAGACATTACTTGGTCTAATTATGGTGTTGAACTAATCAAGTTGTGTTTTCGGCTGCCAGATGGTTGAGATGCTGGGTGAGTTCAGTTGCATTCCTTTCAGCATTCACTTGTAGGTGAATATTTATGGCGTGCGTGACTATGCAAGGTAAAGATAATGTTGGAAATGGAGAATTAAACCGATAAGTAGACAAAGATATAAAAGCCTATTCACTACAAAGTCACGAGTTATTCAGGGGATCATATTCTTACTTAGAAAATGGAAGGATTTTGGTGAGTATTTTTGTTCGTCGCAATCAACCGACAATTCAGATATGTCGACCAGCTATCCGGAAAAGCACCAGACGGCCGTTTCGCCCTGTTGGGGCTTATCAGTGGTGCGCATCCTTCGGTCCTCTGCGGAGGATCTAACCCGTGACTGCTAGTGGCTCTTGCCAACTAACCCGCAGCTTATGCAACTGCGCCATGGAGGACGGTATCCGAGTACCATGAATTGGTAGCTAAATGCGATATAGCCCGACGCATCCTCCACTGCCATGCAGGCACCTGCCATGCAGATGACAGCGGTCGGCCTTCCGGTGTCAGGACTTCCCGGTTACGGCAGCTATGAATCGACATAGCATTTTGTGGAATCCGTAAGGGCGTTGAAGATGCCAAAGACAGGGTGATTAGTAAAGTGTACAATAGTTATCCGATTGTTGGTGTAGAGGTATAGAGGAAATCCGCCACAACTAAGAGCGAGGCTGTGGTCTAAGTTGTAAGTTAATGGGAAATATCGGTAAGACAGTACGACGATAGATCAATGAACAATGAATTATGATCACGGGATAAACGCAAGTGCTTGACACGTCTCGTAGGATGGTTGAGGTTAATATGATGAAATCAAAGTATATCTGGGTCATCTACCGAACGTCCGCCGAGATGAATATTTTGATACTTAACATCAGCGTAAAGTTAAAAAAATCGAGCGTAAACGTTCAGAAAGATACTGTGGTGCATGGATCGTAGATGTGAGGGGTGAGAAAAGTAAAATATGGTCGCTCAATCAGGTCCATTTGATACATACATCCTGTTGAAAAGCATGCTCGGCGTAATACACAAAAGGGGAGTTTAGGTCACAAAATGCTGGGGGATAAGAACAAAATCAAATCGTTTTTTTTTGAAAACATCCAAGGTAGAGGAGAGGATATAACTGAGTCTAGGAGTGGGTTCCAGGGTTGGCAAACCCGAAGGCAAAAGTAATTCCATCGACACTCTAGACGGCTATATTGTTCATTCAACTTTAAGCAGTTACCCCTGAACTGCGTGTTGTGGCTAAGTTTCAGCAAATGGCGGCATACGTGGTTGGGGTCACTCAGTATCTGATACGCTAATATGAGATCGCCGCGCAGCCTTCGATAGCGTCCGCTGAAAATTCCAAGCAACTTCAGCCTTCGGTGGTAAGAGTGATAGCGCAGGCCATTCACATACTTTGTTGCACTTCGTTGTGGTGCCTCTATCGCTTCTAGGTCGCGCTTCAACCAAGTTTGCCAAGCTTGGATAGCGTATTCAACATGCAGGCGTACGTAGGAATTGTGCATTATTGGGAAGATTGAGAGGTCAAATCTCCCGAATGCCCTTCGCAGCATGCCGACGTGCTGGTTGCCTCTTTTCGCAGCTACCTCAGCCTAGTTTGAACAGTTGAGGTCGCTCTGTACGAACACACCAAGGTCACCGTCTTGGGAGCTATTCTGAAATCCGTTCGCCCCAAGTAAATAGTTGTAGTTAGGTCTATGGCGTAATTGTACAACGCGACATTTGTCTATGTTGAATGGTAGGGCTTTTTGAACTGACCATTTCGACACTGTGTTAAGATCGCACGGGAGCCGTTCGTGGTCATCCGGCCTTTTGATCGTTCGCCGTATCTTGATACCATCAGCGAAAAACAGGAAATCGGATGTAATTGATCTCGACAAATCGTTAATAAACACCAAGAATAGATGAGGTCCAAGCATGGAGTTATGTGGTACACCACACACCACATCGATTGCATCGGACAACTACTCTCGGACTCTCAACACTAGCCATCGCACTTGTAGAAAATTGCTAATCCAACCCAGAATTTGGTGGCTAATACCGTAGTTCTGAAGCTTCGGAAGAATTCAATGGTCTAAACGATCAAACGATTTTAAGAAGTCCAGGTAGATGACATCGACTTCTACTTCAACATCAACAGCTTGTCCAGCAATTACGTGCAATCAATCGGTTAGTATTACATGAAGGCTTTTGACGAAAGCCAAGTTGCTCTGGGGCTATTAAGTTGTGACTTTCCAGATACTGCATCAGCGCATCTGTGATGATTGATTCCATCATTTTGGATAGTACAGGAAGTAGTGTTATTAGACGGAAATGGTTAAGGACGGTGCGACTCCCTCTTTTATGGATAGGAGTGATAACCCATCGCTTCCATACTGGTGGAATATGGTTCTCTTCTAGACATCACCAATAGAAAACAGCCAGTGCTTCTACTAGATCACTGGCTACCGCCTGCAGAGCCTTTGGTCGGATGTTGTCAGCTCCGGGAGAACTGTGGATGCGCAAGTATAACAACTTCTTCAACACAGCTTCCGCAGTGAAGGTGATATTGTCTAAACCAGATCGTGGAGTGATAGAAATGAAGAGAAAATTTGGGCTCGTTACCTGCTGGAAAGTTTGGGAGTAATGAACCCGTAGGAGATCAGCTGCTTCCATTGTTGGTCTTGTGCACCCATCAGCCGTGACTAGTGCCGGAATCCCCCGCTTCACCTTTCGAAGGCCGTTAATGTTCCTGTGCAAGAGTTTGCGGTTCATGCAGAATCGTTTTATTAACTCCTGCTGATAAGTGACCTTGTCTTCGCGGATCAGTTTCACACAGTTCAGATGGGTCACGTATGCAGTCCAGGTTTCGGCATTCGAGCGATCCTTGTGAGCTCGCCATGCCAAATCCCTCCGGGACATACATTTATGTGTTCTGCTCCTCAGAAATGACTTATGCTTGTTTTGGGTTGGAAGGACTTCTGTTCCGATGCGTGCGCCACCAGTGTGCGAAACGTCCTAGTAAAGGTTTACCAGGCAACATCTGGGGGGCATTCTGTTAAGAAAGTCCAAGATGTATCCTTAACAAGCCTAGATAACACATTGTAGTGTGTGACAGTATGCACTTTATCATCCTCCTATTCAGGATAC